AGGTCAAGCAGTGTCCGATATGAGCCTAGCTTACGCGTTACGCCCACCGTAACGTGATGCCGCGCGGTACCGGTGACGGATATTACCACCATTAAGACTTACTGGACCTGGTCTTTTTAGATTGTCACTCATTGTGCAATCTAGTAAGGAGAATGAAATCCGACACCAACACCAAGCACAGCCACCACCCAGTAGCACTTGACTATTTTAAAAGCAGCGGATTTATGGCTATTCTTACCAGAACTTTGTAATTTATATCACAAAATGTGCACTTTACTCATGCGGTTCGGTTACGACTGCGCCATGTTCAATTCGGTGCTTGAATAGTTTATATTCTTAATTTGTGATGGACAAGGAACGCAGAGTGAAACACACTTGAACGGGGAATACACCAAGATGATTTATTATCTGTACCCCGGATGTACAGGGTGTGTAACAAATGACAGTCGACCAATGAGAGCTCAGAAGTCAGTTGTACTTCATAGCCCACTTTTATCAATAGTACCAATATGACCAGGTGTACCACTAGTCTCACTCACTACAACGTCGGCTGAGCTGTGCCCGTGTCTGATGCTCTGCGTTTCCCCAAAAGGGTCACTACTGTGGGCAGCTGTGAGTTTCCAGTTGATGTGGATGCAAGGCTCTCCACCCTGTGTTAATGGTTGCGGCAGTGGTGATAATGTAAAGGCATATTTGCAATAGTAATAAGGAGAAGCAGTTCCCATTCTTTCTTTTAATAATTTACTTTACTGCATTGCCCCCTTGACATTGGTCACATGAACTGTTCCCAAATTTGATTCACTGTAACAAAACGAAAGAGCTCTCAAAGGTAACTTAGAGCATCAGTAACTGAGGCACTAATGTAAGATTTCAGGAAACATATGTGTACTTACCGTCAACTACGAGAGCAGTGATGCTCTTCATCAGCTTCCACCAAGCCAGTAGGAATTTTATGTCAAACATAGCTAGCATCACAATAACAAATCCAATCATCATTATTACTAATCCCACGATGACGGCTATTGCTCTGTCAAAAGAAACATATGTTAATGACATGTACGAAACGATTCTGTGCAATGTTTTTAATAAAATGATTGTAAGCAGAGCACTACTGAAGGACTGAAGGAAGGGTGGAGTAAGGTCCTACGGCCTTATTATTGAACCAAACCCAATACCTTACTCCTTACTACGATATTGGCTGGCAGTAAATATTTTTGTCAACATGAGGCACGAGGATATGAGAGCAAATTTTGATAGTTTTGAACATTAATCTTCAAAGGCAACAGTTTCTCAATGAGAATGCCCAAAACCGGTCTGTACAAACATGCACAGCGCCTATCCTTCAACACTTTGGATCATGCAATGCGGCTGTGGTGTAACCTTTACGGTAGCACACATACATAACATGTTTAACGTGAATTAACTTCAGAACGAAATGTCTTCATGAGAATGAGTGTCAGTTTCAACACTGTTGAGACCAAATCGGCGTCATAAGTTACTTTCGCTAAAAATGTGCTTTCCTCGTCTGACGGTGACTGCTGGTCCGGTGACTGAGGGCGTACTGGAGGAGCTGGTGACGTGGCGGGTGACAATGTCGGTGAAGTCGCAGGGGAAGTAGCCGGTGATGCCGTCAGGAAGAAGTTAACCTGGCGGCGGATGTTGTCCTCGCTGTCGATACCGGTCCACCGCAACAACAGTTGCATGATCCCGGCGAAAAAGGTGAGAGCGCAATCGACGCTCTCCCCGTGCCGATCATGGCTGAAGACGCCCTCCGCGCCGCCGTGCCTCTGGAGGCGCGTGAACATGGCGTGCGCGCGCTCTTGAACCTCGTTGATGCGGAGGGCGCGCGGCTGCACACGTGACGCGTAGCCGTGCTCACGCACACGGCGGCGGGTGTTGCGGCGAGACCGGGGTGGTGTCATGATGGTGGTGTGTTGCGCGTAATCCTTAGGAAGCGGAAGGTAGATGAGGAAGCACTGGAGCGCGGGAGCAGAGCACCGGGGCACAAGGGCGAAGGCGAGGAGAGGCGAGCTGCTGCTGGAGACCTGCCTCCGCCTTGAGCTGGCCGTGAACTGGCGCCCTTAGCTGTTGAAGTTGAACATGGAGCCTTCGATTCGGGTAAGAAGAAGCGGGGAAAGGGGACACTGCTGCTCTTATCAACCAGAGCAGGGGTTGGGGTGTTAAAACCACGTTGCCACTGAGTTGAATCTGAAGGCAGCAGGCGCCGGCTCTGGCGGGCCGGGCAGGACGGCCGCTGGAGGGGAGGGGGGCGCTTGGGCGGCGCAGGGCGGCGGAGCTGCCCATGCAGCATCAGCTGCAGGTGCTGGTGGTGGTGTGCCTTCTGGTTGACCGACGGCCACTTGTTGCTCTGGTACGGCTGGCCTGGACGTGAGAATCCGCCATTTCGCGCCTACGGACTGGGAAAACCTCACGGAGGAAAACCAGCCCGATCTCAGATCCAGAAACTCATTGCGCTGATGACGGATGCGGGGCCGAATGAGGGACGGAGAAGGGGAAGAGGTGCTTTCCCGGCGGGCGATGGCAGGGGGGGTGGCAGCGTCGCTCAGGTGCGCCGCCCAGGTGAGGTGGGGCGAAGGCGGCAGCTCGAGCGGTGAAGGTCGTCAGCTCCAGAGGGACCAAAGGAAGCTGCGGAGAAAAAACGGAGAGGGTCTCGTCGGACCCACGTTAACACAACGCCTGTGAGAGGAGTACCCGCACACACCGCATCTTTTGTGTGGTTACGCCCCAGTTGGGCAGTAGAGCAGTAGCTACTCACTCGACAAAATGCTAACAGTCAGGGGACCTTAACTGGGCCTTGCACTAGGCGGCGTCCCTGTAGACTCGCTCCAGGCCCTCCAGCGCCGCAGCCAGCAGGGCCTTTGGCGCCAGCATCCCGTCCAGGACGACCACCTCGTTCTGACGCTCGGCGAACTCGGCCCGCAGGAGCCAGTCATCCATGCGCCGGTGCAGCCGTGAGAAGAAGTAGTGCGGCAGCTGCGACTCTTCCGGGCGGCCCCGGCGCAACGTCCGCCGGCGCGCTTCCTCCGGCTCAACTCGCACGTACAGGTACAGGTAGACGACCGGGTGGGCGGGCCGCGTCGCGTCCAGCAGGACGCGCAGCGTGACCATTTCCATTAGCGAGATGGCGCCGACCGCGTGAGCGTGCTCCGAAAAGACGTCCACTGCACACCGGGCGGAGCGCTCGAAGACGCGCATCCGCTGTGTGCGCCGGGCGCACCGCGTGGGATGGGTCAGCGTCCCCAGGACCAGCACTTGGAAGAGGTACGCATTAGCAGCATAATCGCGCATCAGGGCCGCGAGGAAGTTAAACCCGCCCGTTCCCGTCCATTCGTCGACGGGTTCCTGGTACACATCGTAATCCCCCGTACTGGCCAGGGCCGTGGCTAGCGTCGCCTTCCCTGCACCAATGTTGCATTCCAAGTACGCAGCCGGCGGTGAGAGGGCGGCGCGGGTCGACGGAGGAAGATGATAGCGCCGATCAGGAACAGCGCGGGGCAGCCAAGCACGAGGTAGAGGGCCATGGCTAGGTGTCTCTGGAGCTGCTCGGACTAGCCTGAACAGGCGCACCTCGCGGGGTGACTTATTAAAGGCGCTGCCGCAAGCTGCGGGGCGAGGGGCGAGTGGTTGGGCGCTAAGCGCATTGTTTGAACGCCCAGTCCTCGACTAACGCTCTACTCGACACCATGGGGGTACGCTTCCGTGGGACACGTAGTGGACGACGCCCGACGCCTGTGCCGAGTCGCCCGGTACTACCTGGCCCGTCCCGGCGAAATGGTGGGGTGAGGGGAGGAACCCCCGAACAGCAATCCATTCCAGCCTATAAGTACTCCACAACCTGCAAATTTTAGCACGCAAATGAGGAAACCTTACCGTTTGCTTGTCAGCCTCTGCAGATTTGCGAAGGGTGCAAGGATTTCGCCATCAACCGGGGGTGGACCGTAGGCCTGGGGCTCAAGGTCTACCATGTCCTCGCGGAGGAATTCTCTCCAGACGTCGTCTGTCCGGCGCGAGGGCTGCATCCAGGCCACTGTTACACGCCTTCCGGGTGGAGGCGCGCAGCGGCCGGGGCAGGTGAGGACGCCGTGGTCCGTCCTCCGGCAGTTGCCGCAGCGTGGGCGTCGCTTCCGTGAAGGTCGGTGAGGAGGCTGGGGCTCAGCCCGGTGCGCAGCACGCCGCTCGGCGGAGGGGCAGCGCGGAGTCCGGGTGAGGCGGCGCGGCGGCCGGGTAGTCCGGTCGTTAAGTGCATGGACCCTGCACTTCGGGCTAAAAGCATCAAACTTTGTACACATGTTCCTATGATGGTTCTAAGCTGATTTGGCCTTGTAGCCACGACCGCAGTCCGTGCAGGCTCCCTGTGGAGCGCGTTGCCTACGTACCGGGGGGCGGGCGCACTACACCGTGCCCTTTAAGCGCCTATAAAGTCTATAAGAATTGCGCTAGAGCGGAATTTCTTTTTGCGTTGGGATCGCTAAGGACGAGGCTTTAAAATGGTGTATTAGCGGCAGCGACGCGGCTAACGGTATGGCTGCTGTCGTCCGCTAAAGTTTATTCAAGAAAAATTTTCTTCGCAAAAGTGGAGGAAATTTGCGATTTTCTCAAAATCTGTTAGTTTGACAGTAATGTCACTGAAGTAAAAGTTGTCAGGAATTTCCTTACGCGTCGAATGAGTGGTGTACGAGGTACGCACGGCTAATTGAAGCCGAGTATCAGGTCGATGATCCACCCTGTTGAAAAAACAAAGACCTGAAGAAAATCTGAACAAAACAATGGACAAGTTAGCAGTTGATGTAAGCATCCCATTTTTTTAATTTCGTCTCCTTGAGGAAACGAAAAGCTGCAATATTTATTTACTAATTCTTTCTACGCAGGATGCTGTAGAAAAGGCCCTTTTAAAGCAGCTCAAGAAGTTCAATGTCACTCAAGTGTATGGTCGCACAGTGTCTAAAAGGAGGACTAAATTTTCACTGTCCTATGACATTCCACCTCCCAACTACCTTTCTGGAAGCAAGGGAACAGCAGCTCAGAGGGAGCACTTTGCAGCTACCCTGAATCAAATAACCTTCAAAGCTATGGGTATGAATTTCAGGGTGAAATGTATTCGTCAGTTAACAACATTCCGTAAAGATGAAAACACGCATAAGTGTGTAAAAGACATATTTTATCTTGTGATCATCACAAGTGTTTGATTACTGCTCTTAAGTTAACTTTTATAATTTGCTTGAGGTGATACAGCATTAATTTTTAATTAATATTTGTTAAAGATGCAGAACAGAATAAAAATGAATTACCAGCTTCTTAAGTAGCTTTGTTTATAATATACTTTAAGTACACTCAGATATCATTTTATTCCTAGAACATACCATATCTATTGATAAGAAGTCAGCGGTTCATCATCCAACCGGCAGAAGCCGATGGGCATGCCGAAGCAGAAAACTTGGCTGAAAGTCTGGTTCCTCAGGCATTGAAACCGGAAGTCTGGGAATCGAATCTGGAAGAAATCCACGCAGTCTTGTTATTGGTCCCAAACCCTTCTGTCTCACAGTCCTTCACATTGATACTTACATTTATGAAGTTTTTGAGGTACTTCCTCCTTTCCTGTCTTTTGTCGCCACACATCCTCCGTTAAGTTCACCAGCTCCCATGGCACCGAAATACGGTACTGTGCATATCTGATTTAAACATATTCACAAATTCATAATACAGGAACATCAATGTATCTGAAAATCGGGGAGATCAAATGTCAAACAAAAATGTGAATGCATTCCCTTTTGATGCATCAATTGCAAGTGCAAGTGCAATGTGCAAAGTGAATCACTTTTAATAGGGTAAGGGGCCCAGTAGTCGACAGTACACCAGTAGTCGACACTTTCAACTTTGCGATCGAATTCCCGCGAAGTAGTTAACGTGAGAGTCTCGGCCGTTTTGCCAGGCTTAGGCGCACTCTATTGAGATTACAATGAACCTATTGCCGATTCTGTGCCACTTCCGGGAGCCGGTAGGGAGCGCTTCGCACGGAACACTGCTCGTCGCGTCACATCGAGCCATAATTTCTTAGCTCCGGAGTAGTGGGAAGGTGTTTGCTCGATAGGTTCTGTGAGGCTGCCATTCACTCGAGTGGTTCCGGAGGACGTTTGTGTTGTTGTCAAAGATATATATTATCTTTCCCCTTTTAAGTTTTCGGAAATTGCGGTCAGGGGCGTAAATAATGGTGGTGTCGACTACTGGGCCAGAAAAAGACACCTTAGAGTAGACCAAGAAAAACTTTTTGTTAAAATGTTAAAGTTCACATTGCCCATCTCGTGCCAATCCATAAAAAACGCTCTCAAAAAAAATTTCAGCCAGATCGGACAATATTTGACCCTCCCGAAGTGGGTTCAAAGTTAACATTAGTTTCTTATGGGTCATCGGGCCAAAACGTTACACATTTGGCCTGTGGCTCAAACTATCAATCGTAGAAAAACGCCGTT